GCGTGTTGGGCAAACGGGTGAGTCATTCAATTTCTGTTTTTTCCTATACCCGTATTTGTGAAAGATAATCTAGGCAGTTTTTCAGCTCAGGAAACCAAAGTCTAAGAAAATGAGGTAAAACACCTATTCCTTCCAGCTTCCGTTAAACTACTACTTACAGTGCAGCTCCTCGCATACTGTCAAATGCACCAAATTAATGAAAATTTCATCATCATCAACAACAAGCCAATTACATTCCCGGCAGAAAGCAACTTTTCAGGATAACGTGAATTCGCAAAAAAGTAACAATTACTACTAACAAAGCTAAAAGTATTAGTCTATATTTCCCACCATATTTCTTGAATATTTCAAGTGGTTGCCAAGAACTTACGCAGCTAATCAGTACGCTCTGGTCCAATATCAAGTGCTATAGCTACATGATCCTAAGCAAACCTCATCATCATTTTTAGAGAATTGACAACAATCTCGCCGCCCCCCCCCCTTCCCCTCGTCCTCTCCCACCACGCACCAAACTTTCCCGCATACTACACTACACCACTAGCCTTTCTTAGTTTTTCGATTCCGAATTTTTAGGTTTTTTTTCCGTAATTTAGAGCCAGCTAGCTGAATTTGGATTGCATGATTTGCAAGCAGAATTCTTCATATTTTATCAGCCCATTCGATCAACTCTTTCAGTAGTAGCATGCACTGGAAGGATAAGGATGACAAACAAAACTAAACAATGAAACAGCATGACAGAGATCGTACTCTACTGCCTCCTGTAATGAACGTAAGCTCTGTTCGCTTCGCACTGCTTATGCAGCTCCTGCTTGGCCTGTACAGTTAGGCCTTCATTTCTGTAGGCGGCCAACAGTTCCTCGGCTAAAATATGCTGGAAATGTGTTGCTCCGTGGAAGGTTTTTTTCCGGCAAATATCACGCATTGTTTTTATTGCTCGAAATTCGGCATGCTGCTCCGAAATTGGACATGGTACCATGTAGGTTTGTCCACCTAAATAACATCAGTTACATGTGCACATGTCCCGTATTCCCATCCCCAAAATGGGCGGCCCTACCCGCGTAAGAGACCGCCAAAATTGCTTTAGGGTGAGTTAATAACTCGCGAATCAGGAAAGCTAGAAAGCTGAAATTTTAAGGGAATGTACCCCGTCCAAGTAGTGATAATCAATAGTGACCAGCTGTTGCTGGACGTTTTTAGCAAGTTTGCTGGAAAATACCGTGAACGAAGCCGCATCACTTGGAAAATACATGGGCGCTAAACCGACGAGCAGATTTTGTCGTGCTAATTATTTTACATTTTCCTTTTTTTTTTTTCTTCGTTTGAGACAAACTACTAAATGTAAAGTATCCCCTAGCTTCTTCTGTAGTCCTTTGGTTCACTTTTTAGCAAATGCTTCTACGCTTTCCCATAAGGCCTATCAAGAAATGATTGTACAGAAAACAATGGGTAACGCCATACAAGGAGATGTCTACATCGCCCACAGGTTTAGCGAGTCTAATAAGAGGATTATTGGGAGGTGGCAGTAAGGACGAAAGAAAAATGTATCAGCACAAATTTGATCTTAAAAATGTAAAGTACGATTTTCCTCTTATGGAAAATATCAAAAAAAGTTTTTTTTTTTTTTTTTTCAGTTGAAATTTACGAAACGAACCACGAACGAATGGGCGTAAAATCATTATTGGGCAGCAATTTTTGATTGCTTTCTGGGTGATCACAACAGGATCGAGTTCGATACCGCTTTTCTCCTCATCGCTTGCACTGCGCCACAGCTTGTACTGCCGCCTCTTCATTATTTCGAGGGCTTCAAGAACAATATCTCGCATTTTCTCTGAAAAAAAAGAACAAGAGATGGACACATGAACCACAAAATCAACGGCTTACTCTATGATGCTGCCAAAAAAGTGCCTGAAAACATAAGAATTTTTAATTTTCATGAAAAGTTAACAAATCCATTTGTTCCCACAGTAACTAGCCCTTTAGCTATGGTCACTTCTGATGACCGTAAGCGCTCTGTTAAAGTGAAATTACTGCAGTACTGCTTGTTTCATTTACAAAGAATGAACACCAAGCACATGACATATTGGGATCGTATATCGTTCTACAGAGCGTGCTGGGAAAAGCCGACTTTTGCTGGCTAGATAGCTAATTTTAGTGAAAAATCAACCGAATAGATGGTGAGGGGGACTTTTCTGAGTGGTTAATCCAACGGAACATTGCGTCAAGAAAGAGGTGAATGCGCCCTGAATCCGACTGTAAGTCACAACGGCCATACAGGATCGTTCAAAAAAAAAAAAATTCGAAAGAAAAAAAGGTAAAATTTGGGGAGGCCAAGGGTCATTTGAACAAAGAATGGATAAAAAGTAATGTTAAGCGAACCTTTCATTCCGCGTAACATACAAACATTGATAATCCTATTGATAAGGGCATTGCGGTAGAAGACTGGCGACTGAGTACTGGTCATCGCTTTTATATAGCAATATTTGCGATCATCATCCGGATCTAGCGGTTGATTTAACTGCAACACACAACTTCGACAAATTTTTATTAACTAATTTAAGAGCTCAAATCAATTTTTGATATTTCCGGCAGTTCAGCGGGAAAAACAGATCCTGTGGCTCTCGGCACCTTTATTCCTAGAATCCGATGCAACTGGAAATTCCCGTACGAATGACTATCATTTTCTTAAAAATTGTTTCCGTCGTATATCAGTGAATGGGTGGTGGTCATGTGAGAAAAAATGACCACTTAACCAGCCTTTGAAAAGACTGAGGTAGTTCATAATTTCTGTGCAAAATTTTTGATCAAATCCAATCGAACTTATTCGTCCTCAGCTTCGTCTAAGCATGAAAAAGACGAGTGCCCTACCGGCGATGGGTTTTTATTTAACAATTTCTATTCGTTTAGGTTTACAATTGCTTTTCTTCATCGTTAATTTACTTAAATAGGAAATGGGTAGAATAGTGAGACAACACACCTCAGTGAATGTCTGAGGTCAGAACCATCCCGCTATTTGAGGATTATCCAACATACATACACTGCTGAATTGCACTTAT